TGAGAAACACTTATGTAGAGTGAAGAAGAAAGATCTGAAGATGGGTCAAGATTTTTGGGATTGGTCTGGTGGGAACCGCCTGTTAGATTATACAAAGGCCACAAACACAGGAGTTGTTTGAAAACGCTTGGCAGTTAGGTATAGCAGTAGTCCTCAACTTTGCAACAGTTCGCTTTGTGATGGTTCAAAGTTACAATGGCACTGAAAAAAGTGACTTAATGACGGTTTCTCACTTATGACCGTTGCAGCATATCTTATGGTCATGTGATTTACATTTGGATTCTTGGCGAGTGGTTCATATTTATGATGGTCCCAGCGATCAAGTGATCCCTTTTGTGACCTTCTGACAAGCAAAGTCAATGGGGAAGCCAGATTCACTTTAATAACTCTTGTTATTAATTTAACAAGTGGAGTGATTCACTTAACAAATGTGACAAGAAACATTGTAAAGTAGGGCAAAATTAATTCAATATACATTTCTCACTTAGCAAGATAAATTTTGGGCTCAAGTGTGGTCGTACGTTGAGGACTACCCTATGCTTAATATAAGCTGTTGATGTGTAGAGTAGGCTGAATTCTTCATTTGTATTCAGATTGAGGTTTATAGTTTTGCTGACAGGTTGAATTTAAGAACCTTGAAAAACCTCCAAGCAGAAGGCGCCACACCACAAGTAAGAGGCAAGCAATAAATGTTTCTATTCTCCATCGATTGCCTTTTCAAGAGGGATTCTTTCAGTTCCCAGAATGCCTGCCAGTTCTAGAAAAAGATATTTTTAAATAATCTTGCATATTTAAAAGATGCGTTTTTCCTCGTGCAGGATGGAGGGGAAAAAAACAACCCAAAATCGATAAATGAACTGAAGTTAGCTCTTCAGAGCTTAATTTCTCTTGCAGAATATTCTATAATTGAGTTAGATAACATTGCGTAAAGGAGGATGAAGGAAGCCAATATGGTTTCTTTGATCTTACTCCCACAGGGCCTCTAAATAGGTTGCCTTTCCCACTGAAGAAATGTTACCCCAGATGCTAAATTCATAAATCCTGTCAGGATTGCTAAACACTTCATTAACTGAACAACTGGAAGAATAGATTGAAAACATTTGTCTATAAAAATCCAAAAGACTACTTGGGGGGAAAAGAAAGACAGGCATGTCAACTTTCATATAAAAGCTCATGCCTTTGTTGTGGGTCTGAAAAGGCACAAAAAACATAGAACGAGATGCGTTTCTGTTCATTTTTCATACATTTGTCAGCTGAAAACATGAGAAATGTTAGCCGTAGAGGCATGAATCACAAATATCTAAGGGCAGATCTCGAAGGACTCCTGATGCCTGGATTTTAAGGTAATAAAGAATACATGTGTCCATAGGTTAATGTTAATCTCTACTTACACATAATTAGGTCTGTATTTTAAGATGGAGCAAACTTTTAAGCCATAAAAGAATGAAAGAAACAAGAGCAACAAAGATGATTAGAGGATTGGAGGTTAAAACATATGAAAAACGGCTGCATGAACTGGGTATGTCTGGTCTAATGAAAAGAAGGAGTCGGGGAGACATGATAGGAGTGTTCCACTATCTCAGGGGTTGCCACAAAGAAGAGGGAGTCAAGCTATTCTCCAAAGGCTCTAAGAGCAGGAGAAGCAGCAATGGATGGAAAGTAATCAAGGAAAAATGCAGTCTAGAACTGAGGAGAAATTTCCTGACAGTTCAAGCAATTAACCAGTGGAACAATTTGATTCCAGAAGTTGTGAATGCTTCAACACTGGAAGGTTTTTAAGAAGAGGTTGGATAACCACTTGTCTGAAACGGTATAGGGACATGATGGCGAACCTACGCCACACGTGCCGGAAGTGGCACGCAAAGCCATCTCTCCAGGCACACCAGCCATCGCCTGCTGCTCTTCCGGGTTCTGGCGTGCAGCTGGTCTTCACACGCACAGGAGCGCCAAAAACTGAAAGAGCAGCTCCCGGCGCATGCATGTGCACCAACCTGGTCTTCCGGTTTCTAACCTACATGTGAGTACAAAGACCATCTGGCCGTGCACGCATGCACATTAGAAACTAGCCGGCCAACCTGGTCTTCTGGTTTCTAACACGCACATGGGCGCAAAGACCAGCTGGCCAGCGCACGCATGCACACGCCGGGAATTACTCTTCCAGTTTCCAGCGCATACGTTTCTGCACTCGGTATCTTTTTGAGGCACATGTGCTCCCATTTCGACACTTGGTGCCGAAAACGTTAATTCTGTTCTATTCTGCATGCTATGCTATGCCATGCCATGCCATGCCATGACTATCCCTATTCTGAATTTTTTGTGCTGAGCCTTGGTCTCTAGTTCTGATATTTACTTCAATAGGAAGCGGGAAGGTGATTTTCACTTTTTGTGCTTATTGCAATTTAAAAACACACAACCTGTTTTCCAAACAAATACTGAAGATTGCTTACAAGAAGGTTTTACCACAAAACATTGAATAAGCACTGAAACACCAGTAATATGATATTAGTCTAGAGATACCAGAGATTAGTACATAAAGGTAATCCTCGACTGACAATACTTGATAGTGTCCTTTCGACATTATGACAGCACTGGGGGGAAAAGTGACTGATGTTTGTTTTTCTCACAAATGTTGTAGCATCCCACGATCACGCGATCAAAATTCAGATGCTTGGAAACTGACTCATAATTATAACAGTCCTGGGGTCATGTGATAATCTTTTGCAAAGTCAGAGGTGAAGCCAGATTCACAACTGTGTTACTAAACAACCACAGTGATTCAATAAATACACAACTGTGGCACGAAAAGTCATAAAATGGGGCAACTCACTTAACAAATGTCTCATTTAGTGACAGAAATCTGGGACTCAATTGTGACCATAAGTCTCAGGCTACTTGTATTATTATCATCTTGGAGAAAATAGGTTGATAGAAAGGATCTTCAAGTCAGCTATGGTCCTGCGCTATTTTATCTTCCTCCACAATTTTAATGTAGTAACACACAGCCTTGCCAATGTGCTGCAGGTGTTATATAACAAGTAACTTATATATTTTCAGCCCCCAAACATCATATTTGGATCTCAAGCTTCCTCACAACATTGTCATTTCATTGCAAAAGTGCAAGAGAGTTATCTAACATTCACAAGATTTAGGAATGCATTCATTTCTAATGACTAAAATACTCAATTTATCATGTCCTTGTCATGATAAAAAAACATGAAAAAGTACCACCCACAGATAACTCAACCCTCAAAATGTTCCTATGTTTTAATTTTTTAATAATTGGCTTATCCGTGGATAATCCATGGGTTATCCATTTTTCATGGCATTGTAGTTAAAAATTCGAGGGTCAGCTTATCTCAGGATGCGCTTATATGTGAGTATATACAGAATATATGCATACTTTTTAAAGTATTATTGTGTATGCATAGGATACCATCTGTGCATAAGTTGAACTCAACTGGGGCAGGGGGAGGTGCAACTTGGAACTAAGGAAAAATTTCCTGACAGAACAATTAATCAGTGGAGCAACTTGCCTCCAGAAGTTGTGAATGTTCCAACACTGGAAGATTTTAAGAAGAAATTAGATAACCATTTGTCTGAATTGGTGTAGGGTTTCCTGCCTAGGCAAGGGGTTGGACTAGAAGACCTCCAAGGTCCCTTGCAATTCTGTTTATTCTATTCTATTCTATTCTATTCTATTCTATTCTATTCTATTCTATTGACACAGAAAATTCTCAGTTTATTTGTGTGTGTATGTATGTATATACATACTGCCCCAAATTTAAATCTGAAACCACTGTAAAAGTCTGACTCACAGACGGACACAATACAGAAGCCTGATGATGGCAGATGAGATTCTGCTGAAACGTTGCTACAACTTTAAAAGAACCACTACTATGACGTGGGAAAATACCCGAACAAAGCTGAAGGCCATACATGTAAGTACCCGCGAAAACTTAAGAAAACATATATATATATATGTATATATATGTATGTATGTGTGTATATGTATGTATGTATGTGTGTATATATATATATAATATATATATTTATTTTATTGTGTGTTATAGTTTGATACATATATATATATATAATAAAATAAAATAAAATATGTGGTACACTGCACGCCAAGTGGTTTGCAACATATAGTAAACTCAATTTAACATATTTTCTGGGTAGAAGCTAAGCATTAAAACTTAAATGACCATTAGATTCAATAGAAACGTACACTATCTGCATAATTTATGTCAACGACATAAATTGTCAGAATTAATGTAAAGTTCAGTGAACTATTTAAATTAGTATAGATACAATGTGTGAAACCCATTATTTTAGAGAAAATGTCCAAAAACATATATTGTCTACTGAAGCCAAAATAAATTGGAGTTTAATCAAGGGTTTGCTATACATGCAAATACTTCAATCCTTGAGAAAACTATAAAATGCCATCTCATTTGGTATTCTCTTCTCTTTTTGCATGGTTTGGCAAAACTTTTATGCTGGGCCATTAAAATATTTTCATTTTTAAGTATTTTAATGGTTCTATTCTGTAGGCTGCTTTCGATCATCCTAATGTTTTCCGCTTTTATGTTGTTTTGAAATTGGCTTTTAAAAAAAAATTATCAGCAGTGGGAAAGTAATCAAGACTTATTTGTCCTAATAATCTACAACATGAACGTACCACACTCAGCTGAATCGCCTGCTGCTACAGACTCATTAATTGCAAAAAAAAATCAAAAAAAAATCCATGCAGGTATTTGGAGAAAACTGATTAAGGTGACCAATAAAATGGTCAGGCCAGTGTTCTAATAATCAAATCTACTTGTAAGTAGCAGGTTGGGAAAATTGTCCAAATCAGCCACGGTGGCACAGTGGTTAGCATTCTTATCAGAAAAAAAAAAAAAAATAGGGCATTTTGGGGGAAAAAATCCAAATGTGCAAATGCTTTCAAATAAAAACCTTGGTTGTCTTAGGGCAGGTGTGTCAAATTCAAGGCCCACAGGCCAGACCTGGACTGCAGGATGCTTAGATCTGGCCCATGGGGTTGACCTGGAAACAGCAAAGGACCGGCCCACGGTGCCTCTGCCAGAGAAAACGGAGCTCGGGGGGGCCTCACACGCACCCCCCCGACTCCGAGCTCAGTTTTTGCTGGCAGAGAGTTGCAGGATGCTGTCACAGAGGAAAACCGAGCTCGGGAGCCCGTTTTTGCTGGCAAAGGATTCAGGCCACCACAGGCACCCCCCGACACGAGTGATGTCGAGCTGGCCACGCCAACCTGGCCATGCCAACCTGGCCACGTCAACCACGTCCCCCCGACGTCAAACACAACCCTGATGTGGCCCTCAATGAAATCCAGTTTGACACTCCTGTGTTAGGGATTTGATTTTTTTTTTCTTAGTTGCTTTGCATTTTAACTTTTGTAACATTTTGTAATTCTTTTCATTTCATTTTAATTCTGTCTGCTGCCCAGAGTCACTTGTTGAGATGGATGGTCATAGAAACTGAAGAATGAATGAATGAATGAATGAATGAATGAATGAATGAATGAATGAATGAATGAACGAGCAACAACAATGGCCGTGATTGGTACTTACAGGAATGAGAAATTTCTTGATTTCTTCCAGTGCGTGTCCCATTCTGGCATAGGCGTCAGCTGGTGGGGCAAACACTTCGATGAGAACGTGCAGATCATCGTTTAGATGGAAGTACTTTGCTTCTCCGCTTTTCCTCAACTCTTCTTCCTGGGAAGACAGTAAAATGTTGTATGAAACCATTGCATGAAGAAATGCAAGAAGTCACACAATGATCATGAATAGTTTTACACACTGTTAGGGGTCAAGGGGGGGGAAAGGGAATGATTAACCAAAATGAATCTGGAAATAAATATACCATATGGATTCCCGTGTTATCAATTAACTAAATAATTCCAAGATACTATAGTGCCTACTCTGCTAATCTTTTATGGTACACAGGTAGTCCTTGACGTAACACCACAATTGAGCCCTGTATAACCTGTAACCAACGTTATGAGTAGAAACTAGGTCTCAGGTCTTTAATAACAAGTATCTATATGGCGGTATTTCTCAACCTTAGGCACTTTAAGATCTTTAGACTTCAACTCCCAGAATTTCCCAACAAGAAATTCTGGGAGTTGAAGTCCAGATATCTTAATGTGACCAAGATTGAGAAACACTATTATGTGGTACCAGAGAGAGAATTCTGAATTAGATTGAATTTTGCTAACAATCCTCTCATGGTTGCATTCAATAGCTGTTCAACAAATCTACAATGGTCTGCCTCTTAATCAAAAATAAAGTGGATTTTATACCACCGTCCTTGTAACCAGGGTGGAACAAGACGGAATTAGACACACACACACACACACAATTTGCAATTTTCCTTTAACATATATTCATATTTTGAAGAAGGTATATTGACTGGGTCAATATATTTTTTATGCAATGCTAGCAAGAAAAATACAATTAGGTATAATTCTAATCTTCCAACTTCTGACCTTAACCTGCACTATGTACTTATAAGCTTCAATAACATTTCTTCATGCAGTATGTTTGTTATCCTGTTAAATCACTAGTATTTTAATATTTTAAAAATTATTCAATATTCTACCATAAATCCAATATTCCAATTGTTTAAAAACACCAATAAGACTAATCATTAACCAAATTTATTCAATCCTGAAAATATATCTCCAATACCCTAAAATTATAAGTTTCAATATTACTTTTACACGTTGTTAATAATAATAATAATAAAGTTAGGTTACCACATCATAGACTTCTACCTTCTAATCTTAATTTGTTTATGATTATAGTAAATTCTATTATCTATCTATATATGTTCTACTGTTTTCATATATACATGTATGTATGTATGTATGTATGTATGTAAAAGTTTTATTGAGTTTTCACAAAACATAATAGAAGTAAAACATCTTTTTTTGAGAGCAGCATGATATCAGATTATCACATCTCCATACAGACATAATCTCAGTTACGTATTCATCTTTGTATTCAATTTCATATCTTATCACTATTTTATCAATTTTTCAATAATTCTTCTCTTACTTTCCTCAACCTTATTTTATAATTATATCATTCCTTTCTAATTCAATTATATATCTTTTTCTAAATTTCTATATTTTTCTAGTCATACTTGTGCTTTTGTCTGTCCTACTTACAATTTCATAGATTCTTTTCCATCATCATCCCAAAAGGGAAGAGAAAGAAGAAAATTCACTCCCCTTCCAGGCATTAAAAAGCAAGGTTCCCCCTATAATTACCAGGTACAGTGTATCACCTTTATATTTTAAAATTATCCTTTCAAATCTCATTAAACATTTAATTTATACGTTATACAATTATAACATTCAATTCCTAATATCTATTTTATATCATATAACTCTTATCAACTGAATTCTGCTTTCCCTTAAAAATACACACTTAATTCTAAAAAAAGAAAAATATATAGAAATAATGAATAAAGTGATTATTCCATTCAAATTCATCCTGACAACTGATATTGATTTCATTATAAATCTTTCATATTTCTCTTCAATTGTATTTTATAAATTCTTAAAAACAATTAAAATATTTTCAATCCTTATTTCCTAGCAAGCATTCCATTACATCACAATACCAATTTTATCTTTCACTTTAATCACCTGTTTCATATTTTCTAGCTCATTACTATTTCTAATATAACAACGCTGTCTCTTGTACCCTTGCAGAATCCTTTCTTTTATGTTTTTAACCATTATCTCTATGTCAAGTAAGCTAATGCCTTTAAGCCTTGTACATTTCCCGTTTCTTTATTTCCTGTTTCTGTCCCTTATAACTTTTTCCCTTTTTATCTTTCCCCTCTTTTTCTCTCCACCCTTTTTGTCCTCCTATCTCTCTGATTCTCCCTTCTGTAATCCTCTCTTCTGCTTCTTCCTAATGTTATATTTACTTTTCAAACTGTTCTTTTTTTTTTAGTTGTTGCCCCAGGGTTTAAATTTTTAATTCCTTTTCACCCCTTTTTCCATTTTACCCCACATTGCATTGTTTGGTCATTGAAGATGGCTTCTTCTTTGTCCAGCCCTTCTTGTTCTTCAAGCGTTTCTCGTTGTTTTTCATAGTTCAAAATCTCCATTTCTAAAAATTGAAGTGCGAAGCCAAAAGATCCTCTTCCCTCTTGCGTCTTTTTTCATTTTTTAAAGTTCCCTTTTTATTTTCTCTAGGAGTACTGCCATTTTAAACACTTTTAAACAACCACCCAATTGATTTTAATTCAAACCACTCAAAATTCAACACTCAAAATTCCAAAAATCACCAAGTAATCCAAAGCTATTTCTTCTTACTTCTTTGTCCAATTTTTCCTTTCCGGGGGCTCTGTTATATTGTAGCAAAGTTTCATTTACAGTATATCCTTTGGAAATCTTTTTAAAGTTTCACAGTTAATTCTTTTTATTTCCAGGTAATACTCTCTTGTTATTTCCAAATCCATCCTTTCTTTTTCCCTCCACTTTCCTCCTTTTGAGGGATTTAAAATGTCCAAAAAATCTTTATTTTCCCCTTGACACTTTAATTTCAGCTTAGAATTGCCTGCTAGTGTCAAAGTAAATTAACACAAATTTCTTAGTTGAGTCTCTTCTTTTTTAAATTTCAAAGCCGAATGCAGCTATCAATGTGAGAAAGAAAAAAAAAATCTTTTTTCCTTTTCCCCTCTCTTTTTAGTTCCAGGGTACCTTGCATAGATGTTATCTCAGCTTAGCCTGATTTGTCAAGCTCTCTCCTTTTGTCTTCCCCTCCTGCTCAATCTTGTCCAGTTGGGTTCCTCTTTGAGGTGGCCATTTCTGACCACTGCTGCAACCGCCTTCAGGAAAGGGAGTAATGCCAAGCCAATGAGGAGAGATGTGGCTCCCCTCAACTCAGCTGGAAGTCTCCCCCCTCTTCACCACCTCTACAGGTTGGCTTCAGCCCCGAATCCAAAGGATCGGGGCACTCCAGCAGCGAGAACGGATCGAAACCATGCACAATCGCGGATTTCGTCCCGTCACCGAAGAAGCCCAAACCGGAAGCTCCCGTTTTTCCAATTTATATTGTCTACTTCTTTTAATTTCTAATACATTTACCATATTGAGAGGTTTTTTATCTCTATCCATCATCTCTTACTCTTTTTGAAACTTCATCATTTATTGAGTTTTTGATCCCTCTTTTTTATTTCTCTCTTGGGATCTTATTTCTCTTTCTACCATTTTTTATACCAACTAAATATTACCTCTGGCTTACCCCTTGTCTCCTTCTGTTGCATCATTTGAGCACCCATCCATAGTCCTTTCATTATTTTTGGGAGACTTCCCTTCCTCCCAATTCTATTGTAAACTCTTAAAGAATTATCCCTTTGTTTCATACTTATTATTACACATCTTCTAAAGAACTTCCTGCTTTATGGGAATTCTCAAAATCCTGCTATTCTCTTAGAAAAAAAGATATATTTTGGATACTCCATTTAAAGGTACTTATTTGTTCATGGATCCACCCACCATCAAGGCCTAGATACCAGGAAAGATCTTGGAAACCTGAAAGAAAAAAATAACTATCTCCCAGGCTTTCTGAAATGAAAGCTGAATAGAATAGAATAGAATAGAATAGAATAGAATAGAATAGAATAGA